CGTGCCAGAAAGCGGAAGCGAGGTCGACCTTCGTGAACAATCTGGCCTTGGACAACTCGGGTAAGACGTCATCTAGCGTTGGTAGTGTAAAATACTCTCTCCTGAGTGCGGCGTTGAGCGGCTTAGGGTCGATGCACACACGCAAATCGCCTGACTTCTTGGTGATTATCGCGACTTGACTGACCCAATCGGTTGGCTCATCGACCTTGGCAATCACACCTAAACTGATCAAACGCTGCAACTCGTCTAAGAACTTCTCACGCAAAGCGATAGGTACTTTTCTCGCTGGTAGTGCTACTGGTCTAGCGGACTCGTTTAACGACAGGTGAGCTACGCCTTGGAATTTTCCCACGGTACCATCAAACACACTGGGATAGTTGTCTACGATCTCTGTACCGACTTCGCACGAGTGAACAAAACGATCATGATTAAAAGAAACAAAACCCAAACTCTGAATGGAATCAAGGCCCAGGATGGGCATTAAATCTCCTGATACCAGGAGAAAATCAAGTAAATGCTCGGAGCCATCCTTCGGGTTTATGGCCTTCATGGTAACGCAGCCCTTCGGTTGTAACTTTGATCCGTTCCACATTCTGAGCTGTGTCTGTATTTGGCGGTATTCTGCATCGGGACAGTATTTGTGAGGAAGTATGTTCACGCTTGCTCCTGAATCCAATTGGAATCGCACCGGACGCCCTTGAATAAGCAACGTTGCGAATACACAGACTGGTCTCTCACGTCCTGTCATGTTGTTAATAGCCAGTTCCTGCGGCTCTTCCTGATCGTCCTGCCCGACTGAGTCGACTTTGGTTGCCTGACAACAACGTGCAAAGTGGTTCTTCTTCGCACACTTCATACAGGTTCGGCCCCATGCTGGACAATCCTCTTTGCGCCTTGGGTGTGAGCGGCCGCAAAACTGGCATTTGGGTTGATTCGCGCTCGATGACTTCGATACAATTTTTCGGCCTCGGGATACTGCAAACAGATCCGTCGTGGACTCCATCTTGAGCTGCTGAAACTGTTGAGCCGTCCTTGATTCGCTAAAACAGATATCGATGCAATGTTCCAGAGACAGGTTTCGCTGTCGCAAAAGGCGTCTGGAAAGTTCCTCATTCTTTATGCCAATTATAATTCGATCGCGGATCAGCGAATCTCGTAAACAGGTGCAAAAATTGCAATCCCGCGCCAGAATTTTCAGCTCCGTGATGTATGCGTCGATTGATTCACCCGGCAGGCGATTTCGGCTGAAAAACAGATACCTTTGGTAAGTTTCGTTTGTGTAACCTTCGCAAAACTCGCCGAATCTGCGTATTACTTCATCCAGCTCCATCTCCTGAGTTCCATCGCTGAGATCCAACGTTTGCAGCGTCCGCCTGGCTTCGTCTCCAATGGCATGCCTGAACATCGCCAGTTGATAGGCCATTGGCTGAGAATCCAACTGAGTCAGTGTTACAAAGTCTAGCCACTTCGCCTTCCATATTCTCCAATTCTCCGGCAACGAACTCTCGGTCATTTGCAACGGAGCTGGCAGCGGAATCGTTGGTTGTCCACCAAACGCATGCGGGGTTCGGCGTGTCTTCTTGTCCTCTGTCGCCATGTAAAACGTGCGGCCCTCCGGCAGAAAGAACAACAGGTGGCGGCGACACGAAAATCTTTATTGGCGAGAATTGCTTTCTTTTTATATCAGATATGACCATTTTCTGCGCCCGTTTCTATTCGGCTACTACACTTTCATGCATTTGTCTCCATTTGCCAGTGTCCTTTGATCCTGGGCGTTTCGCCTCCAATCGTTCGGTCGTAATTCGTCCATGGCATTTGCTACAATTGGTTCCCCATGCTGTGTCTTGACGATCAAAAACCAATCGGCCGATGGGTTTCGGTTCAGTGCCTGCTCTTTCTGGCCTATGGACGGTCGTTCGCGTACCGGATTGACGTGACGCTGATTGGTCAGGCGTCTGATGCAAGTCCTCGATCCCCTTAACGTCGCTTACTCGTTTGCGAGCCGTCTCGGGTTTTGATTGGATATTCGGACCACGCTTGTTTGCCAGACGCTTTGCCGAGCCGTTGGTCTGTTCGTCCGATCGGTAGCTTGTGTGCGCCACTGGTTGGCGGTGCCGCGAACTGATTGCGATCTCCGATTGTGTTGCCGATTGGTGGAAACCAGTTCGCGCTGTTGGCTGGCGGTTTGGCACGTAAGCTACCATCACAGAACCGATTGGAGCGTCTGAAAAAATAGTCCCAGATAGTGTACTTTACAGCAAATTGTATTCAGCGTATTGCTTTTCAAAAGTAAGATGGAGCAAAGACCTTCGTTCTGAACAAAAGTACACCTGTTCTGGAGGAGCACTAAACGTTCAAGACACTTTTTCCAGCATGATACCTGTAACGTCCATTTTGTCAACAGCCATCACCCTTCGCCTGGACCCACATTATTGCCCTAATTCCCTTGAATTCACTCTGTTTGAACGTTCCACGTATACCGCCCTGCATGACCCTTAGTCGTTTGTTTTCCATGCCCACCTTACATTGGTGACACCACCTGTCACGCTACTTTCTTTGATGCATGCTCCACTTTATCGATCACTGCTTCGCACTTGTTCCATTTGCGTGTTACTATTGAGGTCAGGGTAGACCGGAGATTTTGTGGGGTGGACACACCACCCATCCGGCTGACATGTGCCCCTAACCTCAGGTCTTCATAATGTGTCCCCCATTGAACCTGCTTGAGGTGATTGGACTAGTGGCTGTTGGTTTCTTGATTGGCTCACTGGTGCATGTCTCGCATGTCATGTAACCGCGCTGGGTCATTTTGCTGACTGGACGACCGTATTGATGTCCTGTTCTTGTAACGGCCAACGGATTGTACTTGTCTTTGTTTGAGGACATTGTTGAAGTATGTTGTCACTTTGATCTTTTACTCTTTGTATAATAGCACCGTAGTTCAGCATCGACTGTGGCTTTTTTGTTTCTCCGGTGCCTACACACCAACTCCGATCCTTGTCGCTCATTGATCCCCTGTCGGAGGCCGCGAATCGGTGCCCTACGCGTTGTCCAACTATCCTAAGCGATTTTTGAAGCTTACAGTGTTCAACAATCCTTTGTTTGAAGACGTCACTCTTTTGGACTTGCAATGGAAACACGAAAGAAGACGTCTATGATTCTTGAACAGAACACGATTGGATCCCGGCAAGTTGAATATTTGCCTGTTGTTGACGATAATGTTTCTTGTTCTGGATCGCATAATACCTGTAAGGGTAGTCAGGCTCGAAGTTCGGTTAGTGCACGTTCTGCTGTTAGGCTGGCGGAGCTTAAGAGAAAGCAAGCCGAAACTGAGCTGGAGATTGTTAAGTTACGGTTAGAAATAGAAATGGGCGCGAACAGCCATGAACATCTCGCCACCTCAAGTCATGTGCCTGAAATCAGAAAGGAACGTATGAGTCAGTTTTTGAAGGATTGTCAAGAAGCAGTGCCACCTCCAGTTACCCCTATGCCGTATTACCACCCGTTTTTGGAAGCTTGTCAACCGCCACAGTCGATGCTGAACTACGGTGCTATTATACAAAGAGTAAAAGATCAAAGTGACAACATACTTCAACAATGTCCTCAAACAAAGACAAGTACAATCCGTTGGCCGTTACAAGAACAGGACATCAATACGGTCGTCCAGTCAGCAAAATGACCCAGCGCGGTTACATGACATGCGAGACATGCACCAGTGAACCAATCAAGAAACCAACAGCCACTAGTCCAATCACATCAAGCAGGTTCAATGGGGGACACATTATGAAGACCTGAGGTTAGGGGCACATGTCAGCCGGATGGGTGGTGTGTCCACCCCACAAAATCTCCGGTCTACCCTGACCTCAATAGTAACACGCAAATGGAACAAGTGCGAAGCAGTGATCGATAAAGTGGAGCATGCATCAAAGAAAGTAGCGTGACAGGTGGTGTCACCAATGTAAGGTGGGCATGGAAAACAAACGACTAAGAGTCATGCAGGGCGGTATACGTGGAACGTTCAAACAGAGTGAATTCAAGGGAATTAGGGCAATAATGTAGGTCCAGGCGAAGGGTGATGGCTGTTGACAAAATGGACGTTACAATACCAACTGAGACATCACGAAATCAGATTCCTGAAACGTATGACGAGCGGAGTAGGAACCGGTGTCCTGAAGCCACCGAAAGATGAGGCACCAAACGGCTTACACTGTACGAATTAAGTTGAATCCCACAAACGTTAAATAGCACCACTGTAGCACAGAGAAAAACGTCCAGCAATGGTAGTGGAAGATAGACGATTGTAATCTAAGCAGCCGAAGACAGGAAGTACCCCTATCTAGTGTGCTCATGGAAAGCGGGTTCCATTTTGCTTTACGTCTACGTCCAAACGATTGCCGATGGCAATAAAAGCGTGATTAGCGGCGCCAGTGCTGTGTTCCTAGATGGAAAGGTTGGGTAATGGGTCCATTGCCAACATGTTTGCCGCATGGGGCCAATCGTTTGCAGATTCTGCATTGGAGATGATATGAGTTGATTATATAAAGATGAGCCGCTCAGTTGTCTGTGAGAATGACCACAAGTACGAGATCAGAACTTTCACGGCATACGTGTTCCAGTGGAAAAGCGATAAAAATCAGTAGAACCAAAAACAATGCACCAGAAAACGTCGGAGGTAAAATGTGCAAACAGCCTTCGATCCCAAAACGTTATTACATAGAATCCAGTTCGTCCGCCATGACGAAACATGCTCGTCTTCCCATGCTCGACAGCGGACTCAGAGGATGTGGCTTCCAACGGATATTTCCGACAAACGAGAGAACAAAAAAGGAAATAAAAACACGTAAACAAAATAAAAAACACAGGTAAGAAGACTGTGAGGCCAAAAGAACGAAAACGAAGGCGTTGCTATGAAAAGCCACATGTAGTGAACGTTCTACGGCATTTCAAGGTACCCGGATGAGCTTTTATTTGGCTCGAGCAAGAGACGTTGGAATACTCACTGCTTTCTTAGGAGCCGATTCAACGAAGTTATCAGGATCTGAAAGCAAAAAGCAAAGGAATGCATGTAAGAGACAACAAGGAGGGTAAAAAAATCTATAAATGTCAGGGATGGAATACGAAGACAACAACAGTAGCTGTTAACATGACGAAAGTTTGGCGTAACGGGGCTACTTGTGTGCGGTAGCAGAGCGCATGCGATGAACGACGGTGTGCTATGTCACTGGTGTGCCAGCCGTTTTTCATTCAAAAGATGTGGGTCTTATAGTAGAGAACCCTTAGCGGAGAGTTTACAGATCAAAAAGTCAGGGCCGTACCAGACAATACAGAATGTATACTGTTTTGTGGCGAGACAAAACGACAAGTGTGCTACATTGCGTCTAAACACAATTTGTGCAAGTGTAAACGGGAATGCTCAACACGATTCGCACCCAGAAAGTTGCGGCAAACGGGTTCACTCAGTGTATCCGCTGACACTAATTGATGAAGTATGTATGAACTGTGGTTGCCGGATACCTTAATGGCCCACCGTATGAAGCAAAACGATGAAACCGCGACAGACCATGAACACATGGCCGAAATTGATGCATGCAATAAGAACCGGCTGTTGTCATGTGATTGCTTGAGTTCATTGGCAACGCATAGTCGCAGGACAGAAGAAACTTCCTAGTGATGAAATAGAGAGGAGGCAAGCATGGAATATGCAATGATCTTACCGTTTCTCTTTTCATAGGCAGACGTCCAAGCACTCCGATTTCGCAGAAGCTCGGAAATTAGTTCCACACAGTCCCATCCAATCAGTTCCCCTAACTGAAACAGGGTGAAGTGGGAAAGGAGACGAATCGGAGGATAAGGTACACGAACTTGGGCATAAAGATAGCATAACAGCGGTGAATGAGAGATTAAAGGGGTGAGTGTCATAGTTAAAGTTGTGCCTTCCGTGAGCGAAGAGCAAAGCCTCCAAGCAGTGTGTATTTATACAACAGAGGCAGATCCTGCACATGAAGATGATTCTCGACCTTCGACAATGGGAAGCGCTATGAAGGTGTAAATAAATGAAACACCATCAGCTCAAGAGATACCAGAAGTTTAGCAGGTGGTCGAGTGGCAAAAACAATACAAAAGCCGAAAATCGGAACAGACGTCCAAGGCAGATTAGTACAGTTGAAGAACTATGATCCGGACATCGAGGTGCGGTGGATCTAGTTGCCACAACACACGTCGCCAGAAAAACAATAAATAACGACAGAAAGATGAGGTTGAATGCAAATAGAATGCAAAGAAAATGTATTAAGGAGGTACGTTAAACTAATCGGGGTGGAATGAAAATCAACAGCTAGATGCAAGAAACTAAATGCAGGTACGAATGCAGGTACGGCGCGACTGTGCTATGTCCGATAGTCTCCAAACATTGATGTGAACCATCCAGGGACTATCATCTACGAAGACGGTATGTACCAGCCTGATCAAGTCTCTCAGTCAATTTCTTCATACCTTTATATAGCGTCATCAACTAGCGACCTCGTAGTTTGTCTTAACTCGGTCTAGCGACGGTGTATAGTACACACCGAAGAAGTCGGTCAACGGGCAAACGGACGACATGACCTAGCCAACTTAAGCGGTTCAACTTTAGCAGGCACTCCAGTGAGGCACCTAAAGGTTTCTTCCTAAAACCAACAGCATTACTTACCCGGTGTTCCTACCGGGAGTGAGCAATACCCCATAGCGTAAAGGGTTGAATTAACGAGAGCCAGTGAAACAAACCTAGCACAAGTGTAGCGCTCTAATTCATCCTCAATACTGTCGCAATGATCGTGTAAACCATACGATTGGTGTGATGGTGGTGGTGGTAGTAAAATGTTGCAGACTATGTTAGTGGTGAATTGAACGGACAAGTTGAGCGAACGAGAAACAAACAGCTAGTCGATCGCTGCCAACACGACCTGTTGGCAATTACGCGGGTTGGATAGATCGTATATAATCAACTTGGACTGACAAAGAACGCTAGCCAAGAAAGCAAAAGCAATGAGGAAGGAGCCACGTTGTGAGTGATTCTAATTCATGCGAGATACGAAAGGACGTTGTTGTTCTTGGAATAATCGATTTTGATCGCAACCCAGACTCAGCTCTTGATTCACGGAGGGCCATAACGACAACTCGCTGCTACATGAGCGAGTCATAGAAAAGCCCGAGACGTACGCGAAGAGGAAAGGTGGAATTCCTAGGTCAAGGAACTCGCATCTTAGAAGTCACACCAAACTAAGAAACGTCGACTTAGAATAAAGAGAAGTCATCAAAATATAAACACTTTCCGGCCTCAAAATATACGCAAATAGATGGAAAAGACTATCCCGTATGAAAGCGCGAAAGTTTACTCACTTCAGGCGCACGAGTGCAAAGAATTGCCCAACCCGTCTAAACATCATGTACATCATGATTTGATGTCATGCGCAGGCTGATGCAGATTCGCGCCGATATGTAAAATAAACCGGAGATCACTCATATCGTTGCTTAATTACTTGTCCCCATGATATCACACTAAGAGCTCTGGTGGGAGTATCCAATAAAGCGAGCATACATACCCAAAGGATGAAACCAGATGGCCAGTCGGAGAGATGTAACCAATTCGGTCACCGAACGCATAAGGCATAGCTATCATTTTACGTGGCTCAGCTGGATGGTTGACGTGTGACGATGCTACAATGTTCCTCAGACAAGGGAAGGACTAAACTGGCACGAAAATGTTGTCGTCGATGGAAGCGGATCAACAAGATCGATTAGAAGCGACTCGCGCATAAAAGGTGATGTCATTTCTATAGATTTGAGTTTGCTAAACAAACCGCTTGTCTCAAAAACATCTACATTTGCAACAACGGCCATCTCGGTATGGAATTCACACTAACTAGCCATAAGAATGAAGCGGAATAGTAATGGAACAAAGCAGAAAAGAAAAATTCAATCGAATACCCAGAAATTGCCGCAACTGTTGGACGTCAAAACTACCAGTAAGGCACGATAGAACAGATACAAGGACACGGTTTACTCCTCTACTCCATCGTAGCGAGCAAAGGTGTGAGCACTTAGTGCGGTAGACTAAGTGATCCACCCATATAGGAAGACCGCGCCGTAAACAGTTAGCCAGTGCAAGTGGTAAACATCCAATGCAGCCCATCACCGCTATTGAATTAAGTGAAACAAGCAACTCCAACACGATGCCTGCCCATGTGTCAATGGCCAGTGACCTGGGAGCGCCTTAGAACTTCAAATTGATAAAGTTAAGCAGTTAGGCCGTGCATATCGTCACCAAGTATGGACAACGTGTCGATTACAGTGAAAATCGGCCCTAAAACCGTGAGCGCCAAAGTATGACAGCGTGAAGTAGCGCAGTTTGTAAACCGAGTGATTAAGGATTCCAGTATCCGTCGCATCGGTTATACCACCCGGTCATCAGTGACCTAAAGTGATCCGTATGAGCAACTTAACACCTGTGTAAAAGGTCTTCGAGAGATGGACACCAGCTCGGATAACAGGAATCATTTGTGGAGGACGCCCAGTCAGGTCCTATACTCACAAGCTGAGCATCTCGGATACTATAAACTAGGTTAATTGGGTCTTATTAACTGAGCTCCCCATTGCTCATCAGTGCGCTAGCGACAATTATACTCAACTCGATGTCTGACAGGGGAAGTGCCCTGTAAACAAATGAAGCAGTGTCAATTTGCACGAAGTAGGTCAGACACCGTTATAGATTAGAACCTAAGGCCCACTGGAAAAGTGGATAAGAATTGTCGAAGTAATCGCGTTTCCCAGGAGCTCATCTCAGCCAAGAGCATAAGCAACCATACTGACAAAAAACGTGTTGAGCGACAAGCTACTGAAACAGTGCGAGTAGTGTGGAAACCAACGGATATTAGTAAGTCAACCAAAGAAGTTCAACTTTTGGGACGGTTAGATCAGTTGCTAAGGTTAGTAGTTTAGATCCGAGCCAAAAAAGGGGGCAAATGATTGTGGCGTATAACGGACTTGAATTTCCCTGAAAGGACTTCATGCATTTGTTGAGTGCTATTGGTTCATGTTTATTCCGCGGTGAAACAACGGATTATACAGAGTTCACTTACTTCTGGGTAAAAATGAATAGAAAGACCGCAATGAACCTCAATTATTGTCAAAGTTATCCCACAGTTCACAGTGAGCTCGGATGCCGCCTCATGTGTTTGAGAATGAATAAAATGTTGGCATATTTGAGTAGATCACGTTTCCAAGTGTGTCAAATATAAAGGGTGTGGTGAAGTGAGTCCAGTGCGAAACTGAAATAGACTGACACCCATATTGCCATTCTACGGCAAACGTGATGCTTATTTAGAACCTGCCACAAGTTAAAAACAGGGCCCATGAAGCCTAGTGCCAGATGTAAGCCTGGCTACCCGTCTCAAATCTGGGATTAGTACTCCACAAGGCGTTAGACGAAAGTGTAGGCGGACAATTCTGCCACCACCGAGATAAGATGGTACTCCTGTGGCTGGAACGGCTAGTCTTCTGGAATATTGTCTCTAGGGTGGATTCGCCCCACTCAGTTAAGGTCTGACAAATATATACTGCCTTAGGAATTAGGTCAATGCTTCGCAGAGAGCTTCAACACCAATCGTAAATAGCGAGAAAAGGAGACAGCCCCACCCCAGTGCAATAAAACCGCTGGGGAGTGTGATCTCGTTCCGAATGTCAGTTTCAACAAACTGGCTACGATTCGAGCAGTACGGCCCGAGCACGAAAAAGCACTGAGAAGAACTGACTAAAACATCTGAAATCGTAACCCCCAACAAACCAGGCTGCCAGTGCTGTCAACGACCGCCCCATTGATGAAGGGTTTTCTGAGACGTGATGTGGACAATTCGTAAAAGTCCACAGAAGCTACTCGTTGACTCCACCCAATCGACCTTTTCGGCTACCTCAGTACATCATGCGTGAACATCTGCCAGCAGACTCCATTTTGACCCAGATCTGACAGCCCGTCTACCCCAAATAGCTTGGTACGAGCATGAATTCCTTAGCTGATTTCTAACAGACTTATCGAACTTTCGGATGTCCAGTGTCCAGTGAAAATAGAGTTGAAACTACCGTACGCAGATTCCGCGTCACACATGGTATACATCAACTTCAGAGGGATGTAAACTCGCGATCAGCATCGTCTGCTGACCGATATGACTGCATGGAATTTGGAGGATCAAATGTGGAATGATACCCTGGGTCTGAAAGATGACCCTATTCCCTTGATACTGAATACTACTATACTGAATACTGTTTTATTATAGAGCAAGTAGGAATGAATTCTGTACAACTTTCGAAGTATGGTGAAAAAGGTTATAAAAATTGTCAGCCGTGAGTATCCTTATCGTTCTCATGTAACATTTAAAATATCTGACTCACGGTAGGTATTGCAGGACTCACAAATGTGACATGTCAGCGTAAGTGTGCAATCGTTCTCTGAATCGAATAGTGGTAAAATATAAATCTAACAACATTTGGAAATGCTGCACAGATGTTGCCTCCATCACTGCTGATGAGATCAGCAGTGGTTTCACGCCGGAAAACATGAGAAAAGAATTCATGAAAAAAAAGAAAAAAGAGGGAGAAACTACGAGTTACTGAGATTTGTGGGCAAAACTAACTCACCAGGCGCCCAATCCGAGGGATGGATTTTGTTCAGAGTGCTCGGCTCCTACCCCTAGACGCAGCAGTCTGACGCACAAAGCAGTGGGGAGTACGTCCAGGATGAAAGCTGGATTGCCGGGTCCCACTGGGAACTGTTGACG